CCAAACATTTCAACGGTAGAAATTACCAAAATACCAGCTAGCTAAAATGTTTAGTTCATTGGTAGTATGCCTTGCTAATTAGTGTGTTTTCCGAGTTGTGTGTCAAAGGTATGGCAACCTTCATAATGAAGCCAGAGCAACTTTTCTAATGAGGTTTGCATCGCTGGCATGCAATTATTTAATTAATGATTGCAAGATCTTGATACCCTCTCCCCGTAGGGTCTTAATAATATAGCTGCTTGACACTATAGGCCTTGTTTAACTTGGAGAGACTGCAATCCTTTTAATTGCTGACCTTTAAGGAAGGGCTGACCATTTTTAAGAAGCTCAATTACTCCACACTGGACCTCAGCACTTTATTATGGCTGCAGAAAACAAAAGGCACACCACTGAAAACTCTGTCTTATGTAAACTTATGTGACACTTTGCTGTAAAAAAATGGTTCTTAGATCCAGTAAATAATACTTACTTTTTTATGTGTGGTTTGTTTAAAATGTTAAAGTTCTAACAACAGCTTTCCGAAACCAACCCGGTCTCATCCCAAGACGTCATATAACTGACGTTTTGGGACGTCTTTTGACCATACGTCAATATTTGCCTTTTTAGGGCCCCCTTCAACGTCGGTAGATGAGGTTATAGGATCCTAACTCTACCCCAGACCTAAATCTAACCCTAAACCTAACCCGTCACCTAACTGACGTTAAAGGTAAAGCGTCAGTTGTATGACGGCCCGGGATCGCCATCTACCGACGTTTAAGGGGGCCCTAAAAAGGCGGATATTGACGTATGGTCAAAAGACGTCCCAAAACGTCAGTTATATGACTTTTTGGGATGAGACTGTGAAACACATAAATGCCTCTCAATTTAGTGTTTCTAATAAAATTTTCTTTTTTAAGGTGAGCCAACGGACGGAGCAGGCAAGTTGAATTAATGGTTTTGTGGTTCTGGTCCATTAAGCATACACTCTCTTCCCAGCATACACTGGGCCATAAATAATTAAAAGTTTGCTTTGTTCGACAGTTTGCTAATTTATTTTGTTGTCAAATTAGTTTTCTTCTACATAAAACAATCAGATTGTCTAAAAGTGTTTTGTGAGTGTTCATGATGTCTTCATATAGACAAAAACTCTTCGTTCTCCGTTCATGAGATTCAAAGACAAATGACAAGCAATATTTAATATTGAACAGTTAAAAAAAGGAAGGGAAACATTTGGTTTGCTGCGCTTAAAAAAAACTCATTAGATTTAGAATTGTTACAATGATGGCACAATTTAATGTATGGTGATTTGACATTTTGGAGTGAGTTCAGACAACACATTTACTTAAAGTAAATATGTAAACTTTTTTAAAATCTGTTTTTTTCAAAACAGGTTCTTCAAAAAAAATTAAAAAAAAAGAAAAACAATGTCAGAACATCTTCATTTTACACATCTGGCAACAGTTTGAGAAGCAAATATTTAGAATTTAACATGTTTACTTGCTATTACCTGTTGCATGGGTATTGAATAGGGTTAGCAGCAGAGAAGGAGCAGAATTCAATTGGATATGAAAGGTTTTTGCCATACACAGCTGTGACTATGCTCAAGAAAAATGAGTGCTGCGCATAAAAGAAGTTCAGTCCTGAAAGCCTCCAAACTGTTTGTGCTTTGGAGGGGGTCATTGCTGCACAGACACAAGTGCTTTCCCTGGAGCGAGCCATAGGCTGTGAATGTGTGGGCAGTCTATGACAGAACTTGCATTCTGTAAACACTGTCTGCAGCATCTTCTCACGTAGCCTGACCACTGGAGCACAAACAGATACTAAACATTTATCATTCAGAAATTCATTTACATTTTACATTTATTCATTTAGCTGACGCTTTTATCCAAAGTGACTTACAATTGCTATGTCAGAGGTCGCATGCCTCTGGAGCAACTAGGGTTAAATGTCTTGCTCAGGGACATATTGGTGTCTCGCAGTGGATTCGAACCTGGGTCTCCCAGTCATGCGTCTCATCCACTGTGCCATCACCACCCCTCACAAATTTTCAGCATTGAAAATTTGCATTGACAAATTCACAGCATGATCGAATGTGTTCAAAGAAAGCCATGATTTCTTGGCAATGTGTTTTTTTTTTCTCTCTCTCTGTCGTTTCTACAAATAAAATCCTTTCTCAATATTTCATGTCCATATATTTATTCATTTATTAAGCAAGATAATGTCAAGTTAGATGGTCATGGGTTTATTTTGTGATTAATAAAATGGTTACCCTTATTGCAAATTCCAGATAATCCCAAATCATATGTGACCTTACTGTGAATATTTTGTTGTATCTATAAAGGTAGGCTAATGCGTGATGAGGCGTAAAATGTTCCTTTTGCAGACATGACAAGCAACTAATTACTCCTTGTTTAGAGAAAAGTTTTATCTTCAGAATTAACCCTATTGCTTCACATTTTTGAATATATTTGATCTGTATTTCTAGTATCAGCATAGTAGGGATCCAGTGTGAAATCGATTGCCTTGGGCTATTATTGCATGGTATAGGCCAACAAGGGAGAACTTTTGTAAATATGTCAGTAGTGTTAAAGGCCAACCAATTAATATGCAGTTTCAGTGACCTTAAACATTGTTTATTGGTTTTTCTGGTCAATCATGCCTTTTTGTGAATTGAATACAAATTCAATAACCAGCATTTTAATTTAATTTATAATTGCATATTTATCATTCATCATTTCATGTTTCTGTATTTATTTTTTTTATAGACCATTTCACAAGATGTAAACAACACTGGTCCAGAAGCACTTCCTGTTTCAGTTTTTTAACACTGCATATAAGCTGGGATAAAATACAACCAACAGAACATTTAAAACTGAATCAAAAAGTTAAACAAACACATTTAAGATGTTTTCTTTACATGTGAAATAAAGAAAACAGTTACAAACTTTCTGGACCAGTGTTGTTTACATCTTGTGAAATGGTCTATAACATGCAATTGAAATTCCAGTAAATGGCACTTTTGAACCACCATTTGTAGTTTTATTACAGCATATAACACTCTTTATCAGTAAGGGGCGATTTATAAAAGAATTGACCCCTTGAGGCCTAAACCACAAAAGAAAAGAAGTCAAACCAAAAGGTTAGTGTGTTCAAAAGTAGCCTACATATTAGATGCATCCAAAGTCGCGTACTTCCCTATAGGCAAAAAACAGTATGTGACAAAAGTAGTATGTCCGAATTCGCAATACTCATAAAAGAGTATACAAAGCACACTTGACAAAGGGAGCAATGAAAGACAACGTAATTTCCTCATTATCTTAACCTGTGATGTTCCCATCACAATGTAGCAGGTGTCCAGCTAATTATCTGTTCTTACTACAGGTTTTAAAATATGTGTGTGAGTGTCTTTTGCAGCTTTCAACTGTAAAACTAGCCGTTCACTGTAAACTAGTGCCCTTCAAGGGTGCAAAAAATGCAGTTTGTCCCTTCGCTATCTCATGAGGGCATGGGAGAGGATTTATGAATAGGCTTGTTTGACTTCATGCAGCGCTGCGTAGACCCATCGACTGACTTAAAGCAGTGCATGCCGGTTAGAATTTTTGTCCGACTTGAGACAGCGCTGACACCACGTGACTGTAACATATGCCATCAGTGTCGAGAGAGCTGTTCGAGAGCCGCCGGGGGACTCAGACGATATCCAACAACACACCTAATGACTTTGAAGCAACATAACTGACTCCGCAGGTCACATGAAAATGACAATATGGAGAATGTAGTACTACGACCTTTGCACTTGACTTCTTGTCAACTTACATAAAGTCCAGAAAGTCATTGAAGAAAATGTTTAAATATTCCATGTGATTATGGCTCAACTATAAGTTTATCAAGTGACAAGAATACTTTTTGTGCGAAAAAACAAACAAAAATAACAACTTTATTCTACTATTCCTTTTCTTCCCTGCCTGAGACGAGAGTTCAAGAGATTTCCACGACGCAACTGAAGCAGTTGAAGAAGATCGCAATTCTCATACATGCGTGGAAATCTAATTTTCATTTTTTGGGTGAACTAACCCTTTAAGGACACGTGTCAGTCTTGCACACCTACACATGTTGCGCACGCGCTCTCAAGTGGTCAAGAGCAAGTGTGGGTATTTGGAAAGGCCCACATATTACACACAAATGCTACTAGCAAAGAAATGTAATTTTTAGCGGTCGTGAAGACATCATTATTTTATTTGCAGAGCGTGCATTTTTAGTATTTACACCACTTGTTGCATATGATAGACGTTCCATCGCTAACTGAAATATTTGGTTTGTGTTGTTATTTAGGTTATCTAGTGATTTTGCATTCGTCAGGAAAACAGTGTTTTGTTTAAAACATCTTTAAGATAATTGATGGTTCGTTTACTGCGCTAGGGGCGCCAAAAGTCTTGCTCGAGACGAATCTCAACATATTGCGCTGCGAAAGCATTAAAAAAGTATTTACATTAAAATATTTTATTCAAATTTACTCAACAATCTGCACATGCTTACCTCTATTATGTTATCATGGCTACATCTGCAAAGTATCCAGGCTTTGTTGCGAAAATTAAATTGCCTAAATTTAAGTTTTTTTGTTTTTTTTTTCTCCGCGTAATAGCGCATTCCCCAATGCCCTGCGATACGTCAGGTGCCTGGAACCCGTTCACAGTCAAGCTCACAGAGCGTTATTGTCCTAATCTATCCGCACACTATCCGTCTCTCTCTCTCTCTCTCTCTCTCTCTCTCTCTCTCTCTCTCTCTCTCTCTCTCTCTCTCTCTCTCTCTCTCTCTCTCTCTCTCTCTCTCTCTCTCTCTCTCTCTCTCTCTCTCTCTCTCTCTCTCTCTCTCTCTCTCTCTCTCTCTCTCTCTCTCTCTCTCTCTCTCTCTCTCTCTCTCTCTCTCTCTCTCTCTCTCTCTCTCTCTCTCTCTCTCTCTCCTCACACACTGTCGCCTGCAAGCTCATGTGTGCGCGCGCCTTGAAATCCATCTGAATGCGAGGAGTGAAGGAGGGTCGGTGCGCTCTGCAGACAAATTTCACTTGTCATTCCTGAATAACGGCGCTCTATCAGAGGGGCTGGAATCGGACTTCAGCAAAAGAAGTGCGGTGGCCTTCGCCCTCACTCAGCAACGATGTCCGAATATTTCCTCACCTTTCTCGTCATACTGGGATTCGGGGATATATTCTCAAATGTTCAGACACTAAGGGACGCTGATTCAGAGCAAGGTAAGACAGACGCAGCAGCTCTACATGAAACTTGCGCTCGCGGAGCATCCTATGATCTGTCAGCGCATCTACACATTTCGAGATGCGATGCGAGTATTTCGTCCAAAATGCATTGGATTGAATGGACAAATAGACGGGTTGAAGGTTTCACTCGCGTGTTGTAGTAGTCGATGGTGTACTAATTCAGTTCCTCGTGTCTGGTGTGGTGTACTTGTCTTAGTGCTCAGAACCATAAGTGTGCTACATGGTGTAAGAGCTCAAGCTCTCATGGCATATAGTGTGGTTTTTAAGACGGTATTTTGGAGGATATAGTTTCAGGATGTCAAAAAAAAAAAAGGTCTGAAAAGACCATGCCAACTTTTTATACATCTTGTTAGTATTTTTTTTTATCTATTTAATTGAGACATTAACTAGCTTATTTATTCAGAAATGCATATTTTATTGTGAAATGCATAACCCATGTTTAAACTCTTAGAAATATTTATTAAATTGTTTATTAATCTACTTTAGAATTTGTATTGACAGACATTTCTTGAATTTCTTGCTTTATTAAAACAAAGTCAGTTTGTTCTTATTCTTGATTGTTGTGTAGGCTACATTGGACTGAGTGATTTATGGTGCATTATGTTGCAACATAATATATAATAATAATAATACAATAATATATTATTATGCACTAAACTCTTAGACATATATATATATATATATATATATATATATATATATATATATATATATATATATATATATATATACAAAGAGTTCAGTGCATTACTTTAATGTTGTGTGTCTTACCTTGATGATCCTCTCTCTATTACTATTTTGAGTGAACTTAAATGAAGTCATCATATTTGTTGGACCATCTTTGTTAAATTTAGTTAAACAGATTTTGAATAGTTCAAATAGCCATCCTGCAATACTTGTGACATTGTCAGTGTTATATTTTATCATAAAGTTTTGGCAACCCCAAACAACTATCTTCAAGTTATGAATGTTTAAACTTTTTCGAATTTCACAATGACTTGTATGACTTGCCAAAGGTATGACAAAGGCTTGGTGCCGAAACGTTGGTCAAATAAATTACTTGCAAGTGAGTGTGCGGTCATCTCCTTTGTTTTCTTTGGCCTGCACCTCGGATGGTGTGCGTTTGCTTAAGTGTTTTATTAAGGAACTTATATGACTTGCATTTGCTTTTGGCTGAAGAGTAGTGATTGTGAGTGACACTGTCAGAGTAATCTAAATCAATAAGGGCAGATATTTAATGAATCTTGATGTGTGAATCAATAAGTGTTGCAGGGGTTTTTTTTCACTTGCAGCAAATCCCTGTTCACCGTCGGATTGAGATAAAAGATCGTCAGCTTGTAGCACAGACAAATCTGTCAAGATTGTTTCCCCTTGTGCTCTCAATATTAGACAAGAGATGAAAAAGAGATTCTGGTTTCAAGCATCATGCACAATATACAACTCGGCAGTAATAGCAAATCTTTTATAACCAAAAACAATGTTTTTAAAACTAGTGGCCAGCTTTGCAGCTATGTCACAGAGAAAAGATTTGGTTTATTAAAAACCAAAGGGTAAAACGTGTTCTATCATAATTAGAAAATCTGCAAATTATTAAAAGTGTATATTAAACATCCAAGTTTTGTTATGTAACAACCTTTCAATGCATCAATCACGATTGACTGTCCTTTTGATACATCTAAACCATCATTAATAATTTACTTTTGAACATGATTCAATTTGACTGTCCTCTATATGTCATTTACTTATGACACCATAAATTCAACATGCCTTTGAAGCGCATTATTTAAAATCTCATTTATTTCAGTGGACAAATGTCCATCTCAAAATGTAGTTTTAAATAAATAATAATTTTTTTTCTGAAAGATTTATCTTCTTTGCGATTTAACGTCGAAGGCACACACGTGCACTGGATCCTTGTGTGTATTCATCCAGATGTGTTCAAGGAGAGAACGTGCCATTTTCAAAAGCTGCATATTCATCATATCAGATGAATGTAAATGTCACAGTGCCCTGCACCGATATAATCTGAAAAGTAGTTCGCCGAGGCTTGTGTTCTCCTGCTAAATGCCTGCATTTGTAAATCCGTCGTATGATGCATATGTTGTCCTAATTCTTAACACTGCTCATTCACTTATCACATATAAAAAAATAACAACAATCGCACTGGATTCATCAGTGTGGTTGTGACTTTAGGCCTCTTGGGATGCTTGATAAACCTCGTTCCACAGTCTGTTTAGTGAACCTTTAATCATTGTTTGCCATCTAATCTAGTGTATCGCAGCCAAGAGTTTACAACACTGGTGCAGGCGGATGGAAAGGCATCATTGAAAAGTAGTTTACTCTAACCACACTTCATTATATCAAACCCTCTTTTATCTTACCAGTGACTCTACCTTCAGATATTTATCAGCTATTACTACCAGATCAAGGTTGCTGGAAATGTTTCCCCCTTTAAGAGAGCATGGCGTGCCCCAAAAAGCAGGTTAAGCACTATCCTTTCGTAATGAAATCGGGAGGACGCCCCCAGAGCCTAATTAAATGAGATTATATCTAGGCATGCTGTGCTGGCTTATTGTCCAACTGTGATTTTTACCTGGTATTAGAAGCAAGTCAATAAATGCACAAACAGAGATTGAATACATGACCTCAGTCATGCAAAGGCGATGCTGATCGGCTACACACTACATACTATGCGTTTATGAATCTCAAAGAAAGGGCTGATATCATTGCTGTGTTACAAAATCGGGAGCTGCTTGCAGGTTATGTAGGGCATGATCATTGCACTCCCGATGCGAAGGCTGTTTTAAGTGAATTACTCGTTTTTTTTACATATACCAAAGGCACTGATCCCATGCCGTAGGCCTACTGAGACGAGTTAAAAAGTAAAAAAAAAAAGTTTTTAGTTCTCACTAGTATATTGTTATAGTATAAATTGAATGTAAGAATATAATATGATACGTTATATTTTATATCTTATGATTGTTATTATTGCACAATTAGCTTGAATGGCAACATGCAAATGAAAACCTATTGAACTCAATTAGTGTTTTTTGTGTTCCAAATCGGTAATTTACAAGATTCCATGATGGTTAGGATGCCTCCTTAAGGCTAATTCACGCTGCACCGACAGACACCGACCAACGGCAAAAGACGGATCAGTGTGTTGCCCTTGTTGCCGTCTGTTGCCATTGTCTGCTCTTGTTTTAGTCGATTGAACATGTTAATTCGGTGTTTGTTGGGTCATGGACGCTGATTTACTATAATCATGTGATTGGCAGCATTAGTCGGCATCTGTGCGGTGTGAATTTGCCTTTTAGTGGGCAGCTGCTATGTAGGTAACTGAGGTTTTGGAACATGGGTGTGTTTGCTCAGCACTTTCACTCAACGTTAAAGACTGACGTTCTCAGGTTGGTCTACATTTATTTTCATAGGTGGTTTACGTCAATGTCTGAACAGTTTTACTATAAAAAGTGTTTGTTTTCTTTAAATATATCTGCCATATGGAACTCATTTAAAGGCGGTTTATTGTTAGTCATGGTTAGGTGTTTTCTCCCTCTCTACTAGGTCATTTGTCCTGTGGTCTCAGTCTCCAAAGAAAATTAGAACTGCCACAGCTTGGTGAATGACCTTGTAATTATCCCGTTGACACTCTATAAAACGGGAAGCAATAAGGCATGCTAATCCTGAGCCAAATTACTTGCTGAAAGGGGGTTTAGAATGAACAACACAAGAGCTTTGCTTTGTCATCTCCCTTGACAAAGCAAAGCTCTTGTGTTGTAGGTAAGAGCAGCAGCCTTGCTTCTGGAAGTGATTCATCTAGCACCTGTGTGGCAGGCTTCATTGTTTTTGTTGGCGTTCTGTTGCACGCCCCATTTATTCCAATTGAAGTTCCGTTGAAGTTGGCCACACATTCAGCTGAGTCATTAAGTGTTCTGACCTTTGACAGATCGAGTCGTTGTGGCTGAGCTTTGCAGTTGGAGCTTACACTGCAATGCACAGGTAATCTGCTGGCCTATGACATCATGTACATCTGTATTCCGTGTTGACATGCTGGAATCTGCTCTGTGGGAGCTATTGGAGAAGGTCAAGATGTTTTTTTGGACCACATGTTTTTCCATCCTCTCTGCAAGGTCCAAAATGAACTTGTCGAATTCTCCGGGCTATCAATATGTCTTGCATTTAACTAGCAGTGTTTTGCCTTATTTTTAATTAAAATAAATCATTATGTCAGTCCTGTAACAAACTGGCCTGTGGGATAGGCTGCAGTATCCCTGTCACCCAATATTAGCCAAACGCTTTGGAGAATGGATGGAGATATTTTTGTCTATGGCAATAGAATTATTTATCTGCCCTATTTTGTCTGCATATTATGACAAATATTGGAAATCATTAATTGTGTCATTCAGAGCATAATTTACAATAAAGTCCCATTATTTAATATTGGTTAATGCATTAACTAACATTAACTGTTACAGTAGTCATACATTTTTGTTATCGATAAAACTACAAAAATACTACTGATCATTATTAGTTCATAATGGACCATATTGAGGGCTACCTTGTTAGGTAATTTGTACATTAGTGACAATCTGACTTAACATTTTTTCAATTTGATTTAAAAGGGTAGTTCACGCACAGAATTGAAAATTCTGACATCATGTATTCGGTCACAGTTTTGGTCACCATTGACCTCCATTGTATATCAGAAAAAATGCTGAAAATATTTTATTTTTCATTTCATTTTCCACAAGAAAGCCATACAGTTTTGAAACGACATGTTAATTATGTTAAAAGACATATTGAGGAAATGATGGCAGAATTTAAATTTTTTGGGGTAAAACATCATCTCAAATCGTTTGCAATTAACACTTTAATTTGCATGCCAAATCCAAATTGTTCTCACGTGCTCTCTGAGTGTTAACTTTGGAGCCTGTGAATAGTTCTTGAAATGTATTCACGTCAGTGGCCGTGGCTTG